TGCCCCAACCACCGCTGGAGACACCACCAGAAGGGAGGATGTGTCCCTGCTACGCTCCAGCATCTGCAACCTCCCTCACTCCGCTGCAGCCTCGGCCCCTACCTCGGCACTGTTGAAGTGCAGCAGGATGTACATCTGCAGCGTGGACACGTGGAGGATGCAGTCTCCGAACCGCAGTTCTGCGTGGCCCAGCCACGTCCACTGCAGATGCAGCTGACGGGGCTTCATGCACTGCCAGCCCAGCTGGCCCTGGCCTGCCAGAGACAGCACCCGCACAGGGGCCGGGGGTCAGCCCTGCCAGGCGCTCCCAGTGGCCCAGCACTCAGGACTGGGCTGCTGTGGAGGGCCTGGCCCCAGCAAGACCCACACACTCCCCCACTGCCGCGACCCTCACGCCGCCTGCAGAAGTCGACAAATTCTTCCAGGGGGGAGCTCAGGGCTGACGAAAAAAACCTCCGAGGTTCATCCATGTAGCAGAATGGGGAGACGGGCCAGCAGCGTGGGGACAGGGCCAGCACCTTCACCTCTGGCACATCCACCACTGCGGCCGTCCCTGATGCCTGGCACATGGACATGAGGACAGCTCAGGACAGGCCCCAGGATCCCCGTGAGGAATGCAGGAGACCCCAGCCTGCCCATCCCACCGGCACACTCACCTCCTCCAGCCCTGTGTCCAGCTCCAGCAGCCGCTTGTCCCGCTCCTGCAGCTGGAAGAGGTAAAACTGCTGCTGGAGCTCTTCTGACTCGGCCAAGTTGCTCAGCATCTCTTGGGGGAAGCGGCTGGGGAAGCACAGCCCAATCTGCTCCACAATGGCTCCTTCCAGCCAAGACAGCCCTTGCACCAGGAGTCGGTCACCCAGGTAGTGCCTGCCACAGCCGCCAGCATCTGGTCAGGGGCCAGCCTGAGCCCCAGGGCCATCACCCACCCACCAGGAGACAGAGACGGCCCTGGCCCTGGCCTCACCCCAAGGCACACAGGCCTGGCAGCATCTGCCTCCCCTCCCTGTCGCCAGCCGGGAATGTGCCTCCGCAGCCTGGCAGCGCCCGCGGGCCCCCACAGCCTTTCCCTCCACACTCCAGAGCCGGAAAAAACAAAGCAGGAACACTGCTGCCACACTGGGCTCAGCCATGGCCTCAGCGCTGCCTGCGCCTCCCCCGCACACCACACCATCGTGCCAGGCCCTTCAGTCCCACGGAGATGTGGCATCCCTCACCGGTAGAAGTGCTCGAAAGTGTGGGCGAGCTCCAGGCCACTAAAGACGACAAAGGGCTCCAGGATCCGCTGCAGCTGCTGCAGTGACCCTGCGCTGCCCACAGCCCCGTGGAGCTCCTGGATCTGCCCATCGAGGTAGCGGGCAAACTGCTCACTCACCTGCAAGAGACAGGGCTGGCTGCAGAGGGGGCTCACCAGGACTTGGAAAACATCCCTGGGGGAAGCAGCTGGCAAACCTTGAGGCACTCGGGCAGGGACTAAGGTTGTCCAGGCACTGGCCCGAGGCAGGAGCACGCCAGGGCTGGG